GCGACTTTTAATAAGGACCTGAAGCCTCAACACGTCATCAACACGTCATCATCAATGCTATTACCAAATGTTATCACCAACACGTTATCACCAACGTTATCATATTAGATGTTTAAGTGAAGCTAAGTATAAAATAAGAGAATTAATTTTTAAATATACATACTTGAAAATCTAATAAATAAAAAAAATAATGATTATTAATAAATTTGATATAATAACGTTACCACAATTAATCTGAATATCAATACCTATCTAAGATGTGGAAAGGGAGGGCTGTTTCGAAAGCTTGTTGTGAGTTTTTTGAAGAAACCATTGAAAGAGAAAAATTAGTGCTACAAAAGCGAAAGCAAAAAGAGATTCTTGAGGTGTGGGTTTATTTATTTTTTTGGGAAATTGATATGTTTTTTTTCTTGAAAGTTCAGAAAATTTATGTTATTACTAGGAATATGTGAGCGAAAATGCTAAATTTCAGGCATTTGAGAGCAGTATGCAACTTCCAAGAAGGGAGAAGAGGAAAATAACATCACCACCACCTCGGGAAAGCACCTCCGATGATGAAGATGTACTTCTGACAACACCAAACAAGAAAATGTTGGAAAATGAAGATGTTAAATTGTAAGTTTTTATTTTTAATTATCCATATCGAATCTGGTATCACATTTCTTTGATCGAGTCAATTACTTGTTTTTAGATATGTCGAGTCAATTCCCATTGTATGTGCATTTGGTGTAAATATATTCAAACTGAAAAAATTATTAGGGAATGATTTAGCGAACCAAATCTCTGAGTATCGGGACAAAACACCTTCTATATGGACAAAAGAACTAGAGAATTATTTAGAATATGCATTGGATGTAAGTCTCACTAAGATCATTTAAATTATTATTTCCAAAATTTATATGTAATATCTATTGCTCTTATATAAAGCAAACAGGAAAACAATTCAAGATGGCAATACAGAATGAAATAGAAGGAGAATCGGCTAACAAGTTTAGGTTGTATATTGAAAAAGTTTTAATGGATTTATAAGTATTGAGTTATTATTATTGTATTTGGAGAAATTACCTGTAATGCTTTTGTTTTGCTACTCTTTTACAGTTATAATCTAGTGGATCTTTTTCCAACACACATGATTACAATTAGGGAGCGAAAATTTATTGTATGCCATATCTCAGCTTTGTTCAAATTTTACGAATCAACATTTGGAACTTTGACATTTGACTGGATTGAATCTCATTCACAGGCTGCAAAAGTGACTAAATCATCAACAGATACCGGGATTGTAAAAGTAGATATAAAAGGTATATATTTATTTATTTAATAATAAGTATACTTCTTAAGGATGAATTTTCTGATTCAATATTTATATTCTATTCAACAAAAAAGGAACTCGGAATAGAGATGGAAATGATGTCTGGCACATGGTTGATTAATTATAATATGAGTTCCTTTCAA